GTGATGGAGGCACCAGGTGGGCAGTAAGGTCAGGCAGGGCCTAGGCTCGGAGCATGAGGTTTTACCCTGAAAGCTACTGGGTACTGCCAAATGACTCACCATGGAAGATCTGAGAAACACTTTCAGGAATGGGTGCTAATCAGCGAAAGAAACCACTGAGATTCTTGAAATAGGAATCTTAGTCAGAGTCGACCACAACTGGATAGGATTTTCCAGTAGATAGGGGAGGGTGAAATTCAGATTAGAAAATGATCCACACCACAGTATTTCTCAATTAAAGATGGAAATTGGATCAAGCAAAAAATAGATTATTTAGATATAATGAAGGGTTTCCTCTTCTATGCCTGTGAAACACTGAGTATGCACAGTGCAGAGATCAGTAGCTCTCTCTGTCAGCACGTGAGCCAAGTGGCCCCAGCAGTTGGGCTTTGGATGACAGTTGGTTTTTCTAAACTACAACCTCAGTATTCAGGTTTAATTTCAGTGTTGGCACTTTGCAATAAATAAGGGGGTTTGGGGTTGCAGTTTAGGCTCTCGGTTTCTAAAAGGTTCAACACCACAGACATAGGTAGCAGAGAGTGGGTATTATTTGCATAAAAATAAACTTTATTATTTATCACTTATATTCTATGAAATTGCTTATATTGTGATTCAACTTTTGACTCTACATTTAAATTTTTTAAACCATTCGTTTTCTGTAGAACCATTTCTGTACACAGTAACTGGTATCTCTAACTCTGAGTTAAAATGCGGGAGCTTGACTATTGGAACTTCAACACTGCTGACATGACCCTGTGGTTTTATTTGGGGGAGAGGATTTTGGCTAAGCTGAGGCTGCCAGTTGGGAATCACACTGACCATAAGATGACATCTGTCAAACGGTGTGTGACAGCGGCGGCGGGGGGGGGGGGGATCTTGAGGACAGAGAAGTTCAGTCATTACTTAAGGCTCTCACTGTCTGGCTTTAGGATCACTGACCAGCACAAATGGAGGCATGTGCAATGGTCTAAAAGCCACTGTCTCTGCTTAGGTGAATAGAGAAGGGTAAGCTCAAAAGTGAAGAGAATATTCTATTTGAGAATGGTTGCATGTTTTTTCAACTTTTTAGCAGGACATATAAGACCTTCATTAGTCATGGCTTATGTGCCAGCCAGCAGGCATCCTCTCTTACTTTCTATAATGACTTGATATCCTTGAAGTTTCCTAGATGATGCTTTCTTCAAGTTCTTAAATGCAGCAATGAGTAAGAGCAAACATGTTTACTTGTGTCAGGCATGCTGCTAATCCTCACAGCAGCACTAAGGCAGCTGTGCCATTGGTTTGCTCATTTTATGGGTAAGGAAACTGTAGGTTAGAGAGGTCCAAGCACTTACTCAAGGTTAAAAAGCTGACAAATGGCCCAGCTCGCATAAGAATGCTCCATAAGTACCTTCCCTACGTGGTCACCTTCTTTCCACTGGTCCCAATACCTCTGTCACCCTCTTCCATGAGCCTACAAAGCAGAGCCCTTTTGATGAACCTATAAGAGCCCTATTGATGCTCTCCTCAAACATTTCCCAGGGAAGACCGAGGCATCTTTGGGACATGAACCATGTCTTCAGTTGCTGTATTCCTACTGTCCTCAGCAGAGCAGATGCTCTGGAGATATATCTGAGTGAATACTGACACAATTTGACTTGAAATGTCTTGGAAGGTTCAGAACCTAAATAAAAGCAAAGAATCTTTCTCTAAGGAACCTGGGGAGGAGATGAGGTGGAGGCAGAGAGGGGGCAGCATCAATCACAATGTTTGGCTAATTCACAGTATGCGTTACTGCTGGGAATGTAAGAATTCTCTCGTGAGGCCCTCAGTACAGTGGGAGCCAGTGTGGCACAGAGAAATGACCGAGTAATGATATGGCAAAGGTACAGAACTCTGGATCAAAGGAGATGGGTCCAAATCTTGGTTCCATCAGTGACAAGTTATGGGCTAACATAAATTACCTCACTTTCTAAAGCTTGTTTCTTTCTCTGTAAAATGTAGATGACATCTTATAGTTGGAAAATTCAGTTACAAAATTTATAGAAAGTGATAACCGCATGCTTGGTCGTCGTAACAACTTGCATCCAATATGTTACGTGGTATCATTACTAAACTGAAGAAACCAACTACACTTGTTCTTTAGACAGTGCAGGGGATGTTGGACTGGTCTAACTCATAAATACCTCACAGAAGACAGGGCACTGGGCCAAGTCCTGAAGAATGGGGATGTTTCTGTGCATGAGGAAACAGAGTCTATCAGTCCATCCCTTCCATGAGCTCCCGAGTGAGCTGAATGCAGGGTTCCACATCTTATGGAAATTGAACGTCTGTACTCCACTGCCAGTGCCTGTCACACAGAGCTCATCCTGGAGGAATGTTGTCCTGGGAGAAGACAAAAGGACCCCAAGACAAGAATATAAAGGCTTGGAGAGCAATGCAATGTGAGAGATGAGAGAAGCCTGGCTTGGCCACAGCAGGCTCTGATGGTAGAAATGGAAAGACATCAGACTTGGTAGGGTATGGATGAGGTGAGAGAAGATCCTGACAGCCAAGCAAGAGATCCCGTTTAATAGTGTCCCTGGCCCTTTGGAGTCTGATAATGCCTTGCTTCTTTGAATGAAAACAAACATAAAACCATACAAAAATTCCTATGAATTGGATCTGAACACCATCTCGGGTTGACCCTCTGCCTATCCGTAACTCCTGAGGTAAGACTCTACCTTCAGGGAACAAGAGAGATGGCAGCACGGAAAGGACAGGATTAGTCCTGATGGCCCCCAGATGGAGGAAGGGCTATGAGCCTCGCCAGGCAGGCCGATGATCTTCAGCATGGGCAAAAGCAGGGCTCCGGTCCTGGCCGGAGCCTCATGGGCAGAATGCGGCCCTGCCTGCTTCCTGGCTATAGTCAGTGTCAGATTTCCGACCCACACAACTGTCAGGTATTAAAGTCTTTACTAGATAATCCAAAAAGAGAGTGAAAGAGAAGCCTACATTTATTATTTGATATGCCAATTCTAAAAAGAAAAAGCAAAACTCTAAAGAAAGTAGTACAGTATCTCAGTACCATCACATGCTAAAGAAATGTGGCACACGGCACATTCCCTTTCTGTGCAAGGGAAGAGGCTGGTACACAAAAACAATGACAAAGAACAATGCACTTACTTATTTTGGTCTATGAGAAGATTGAAGTGAATTGTTTTTTTTTTTCTAAAGGTAATTTAATTGTTTCAGTTAATTTTGGCTATTAAGAAAAAAGGTCATATATTTCCGATTTATATTAAATATGCAAATCCGAGGCTGACAATTCAATTTCACATGAGGTTGTTTCACTGTCAGGTTATAAGATCTTCACATATTATCTCACTTAACACATTACAGCAACTCCATGGGATAGAAATCATTTTCACGGTACTGAGGTACAGAGTGAGACCCGCCCACAGTTATACAGTTAAGTGGCAGAACTCAAATGTGAACACTGAAAAAGTAAAGATGCTCAACAAGATCAGGGCCTCGGTAGCGTATTTTAGCAAGAGTACCTGAAAAATGAGACCTAGTTAGTGATACTTTTCCTTTATAGATCTCTAGATTTAAAAGAAAAATTATTAAATAATTTGATAAAACACCTTTTGTAGTATTTATCTTATAAAAGTAATAATTTATTTTGTTGCAAAATTCAAAAAGTCATACTTCCATAAAACGAAGATAACTATGCTCAAAAACTTCCTGGATCCCTGTGTGATGTTTTGCACATGTGTACATATGTAGAAAAGTAAGACTGGAGTCAAATTCTACACTAAGTTTGGCGAACAGCTGTTTTTTTGACTTAGTAATTTGGAAGCCTTTGGCTAGACAGCTGAGTTCTGACTGAAGAAAAGGACATGCGCTTTCAGTACTGTTTGCAGCCTGAGCCTGCCTCTCCCCTGCTCAGGACCAAGGCTGCGGGTCCCGTGGTCACACACAGGAGCTGGACCTCTGGCCGGCAGCTCCTCCGGGACAAAGGGTACCTACCTTGCTTCACTCCAAGGTACAACCAGATCCTCTGCCATCCCAGACATTTCCTGACAAAAGAAAAGATTTTTTTTTTACTTAAAGAGAAGAAAATGCCTCAAAAATTAAAAAATTTAACATTTTACACAATCTACAAAGCTTAAAGCAAATGATTAAAGAATAACTTTGTTAAGTATTTGTCATTTTTAAGAATGCCCTCAATTACTAACCAAATACTGTGTTACAAATAACTAGTTATGAGGTTTTACATTTGTTTAACAGGGAATAATTGGCCCCAATTAAACTGACTAAACTAAGGCTTTTTAGATTACTAAAACAAATTAAACTTTTTAAAATGAGAATTTAGGTGATCTTAAAATCTTTCTAAAATGGAGAATGAAACTTGCTCAGTTGTAATCGCCCTGGTTTTATTAGTTATATTAAGATAAATTAAGTGAGATTAAAATCTTATTTGATTTATTTACCTTTGAAAATGAAGACCGTTTAAGGGTTACACATCCTCAGCCTTGGCGAGTGCGACCTCAATTAGTCAAGCCAGAATGTCTTTAAAAGCTTTGTGCTTATTGCTTCCAGCATGGAGCGAGGTGTTCATTAAGGTACCAAAAGTCTCATAAAAAATCCAAAGTTGCACTAGTGAAAAAACGCTCAACAAGATGAAAACTGATCACATCTTTTCCAGAAAATCCAGTAGTTATTTTAAAACCAGTTTTTAAACAAGATTTGGTCCTGGTAGTTTTAACTTGTCAACTCACGCAGCTTGATACCATTTGGACTCTAAACAGCATTTAAATCTACGGTGAGTATATAGTGGTACATTTAATTTTATACCATTTTAAAAATGAGTTGTACAATATTTAGTGTGACCCTTTTATGGCAAGCATTGTTAAAGGGATTCTTTCCCTGTTTACCACTATTTATGAAGGCCTTTTTAAATAAGAAAAACATGAAACTGTTAGCTCACACACACGAAATTTCTTTCAAAAGTTTATTTAGTATCAAGCAAGAGGAGACTTTGCTTAACACTACAGAACATTTCAAGACTTGAGTTACAAAAGAATACCACATTATTTGCACTTGTAATTGGCTTCCCTTTTTACGCATGTTGGCAAGAGAAAAAAAACTAGCATATGGCTGAAAGATAAAATAACTAAATTCTATGGAAACCTTTAAAATGAAAGTGAGGCTTATGTTAAAAGAATGGATTAACATATTTAGTAAACCTATTTTTTTGTTTAACACTAGTTAATCAAAGTTATTTTTTTCCTTTTGATGACCTATTTTTCATATACAGACTGGAAATAACAAAATTTTACATGTCTTTTTTTTCCTGACCAGGTTGATGTTTCGACAGAGTAGTTTTAAGTTCCATCCATTCAGATTTTAAACATTTTGATTTATTTAAAAAGGGATTGTTCATAGAAAAAATTACTTTGAACAGTATACAGGACGGTGAAGATTGGCTATTTCACAACATCAGACAGTACAATCAGTATCTGCCATATGGCTGGTCCCTGTAGACGCCCTTCGCTGTCCTCGCCGAAGGTGCCTTGTGTCTGGAATTAGTCCACTCCTCTTGTCCTGAAATCAGGAAGATTACTCACAATTAGATCATTGCCATGGGTCCTACCAAAACCATTTCTCAGAATCTGACTTCACCCTAAACCAATGGTAGATATCACATTGAAGACGCATAGCCTTGCGTCTTTTTTTACTTAAAAAAAAATACAAACAGTGGGAAAATTACTATCTCACTATTAAAACCATCAGGACAGTAAGAAAAATGATTTCTGTATCTGAAATGGCAACCGGCTTTGCAAGAACTTTCCGCTTCCTACTCACTCAACTAAAACTCACAAGATTGTGGAGCAAATTGAACCGCCTTGCAAAACATTAAGACATTTTGTGTGAGAGTGAGGCTGGAAAGGATCACTTACATTTCTTCTAAGAGTGAATACAAGAAAAATAACAATCAATCTGTGGAAACAAAAGGAGGGACCACTGGAGAGCAAAATGGGAAGGGGCAGATTGAAAAAGAGAAGGGCAGACTGAGAGAGAGAAAAGTCGGCTTACTCTTCCTAGGTCCTTTCACAGAAAGACTAAGATAAAGTTGCTGTGGGCTGAAATTTATGCCTCAATAGCATGCCTCAGAAGTTTCAGTGAGTCTACAGGTCTTTGACATCAAACAGTTAACTTCTCTGCTGCAACCCACAGCAATTTAAAAGCCTTGTGTCCACAGAGACCAATTTAAAAAGCTGTGAAGGAAAAATGCTTAAAATGACCTCTTCCTTTGATAGGAACATGCAATCAACGTCATTCCCTCAAGCTAAGTTGCATCAATTTAAGTAGACAGCATTCAGCAAGCCAATGTATTTCTCTTAAGTGTTTGCTACCAGTAACAAAAAAACAAAAAAATTCCAAGGTGCGGTCATCACAGCTTCAGGCAGGTGATACAACAAAAAGCACTTCAAAAGGAACACTGAAAATGGTTCTGCAGTTATGTTCAGAGAAATGTCATAACATCCATTAACCATGAGCCTGATTTGCTCACACTGGGTACTAGGCGCTCACTCTCAGAGCTTTGCAGCTGACTGAAGCTTCATGCTCCCTGATGTCTTTGCCCTGCAGCAAAGGTGCTTCTTACTATCATTTCAATGCTGCCACCCATTCTTATAATTGGAACCATCATCCTTCTGCATATGGAGACTTTGGACACGGACTCCTCAGCTTCTCTACCAGCTCCCCCTGAATTAGGAGAAGTTAAATTGTCTTCTTCTAGGTCTGACAGACCCCTGTACACCTCCCCACCTCAGTGCTCTGGTAACCTTAATGACAGGACTCCCAGGGTAATTTCCTCAGAGGACTTGAGGCTAGGACTGGACTAAAATATAAAGATGGGGGTGGGAGAAGCACTTTTGAGCTGTGGTCTCAATTGCTTCATTTCTCTTCACTTCCAAGAAGGAAAGAAGGTTAAAAAAGACCCATGGAATCAAGAGTCTGCAGTCTGGCAACTATTTTATTAAGTGAGGAAGGTCACAACATGGCAATCAACCCAAACAGAAAAATCTAAGTTCAGAGTCTGAATTCATGCAATTTTCTGCAAGTATTTAGTTTTCTTTAAATATTACATTTGAATACTGAAAGATCCCCTGAAAAGAGCTATACACACAGAGAAAAACAGAGAGGACCCTGCTGTTTGACAGTCAAAATGAACCCAGCTTCCCGTCCACCAAGGCCTGGCAGGACTTCGCACATCCCCTGCGCTCTCTGCACGGTCATTCTGGCCACTCACTCACCGTAGGAATCGTAAGTCTCCTCGCTGAGCCCATGCCCATAATCATAGTAATCAGCGCCACTGTAGGGACAAAAGAAAGCACAGTTAGCACAGAAGGATTTAGCTGTGAGTTTAAATCACAGCTGATATAAAACTTAATAAACTAAAAACTAATAAAGAGCAGGGCTACAAGAGTGAAATGAGTTTCTCTCAGGATGACAAGAGTTCTAAGTTAGAACCTGAGGACCATCAAAGGCCCCTTTTACTTCTCCACTTTCGGGACATCATGAGTGTGCCTGCCACCTCCACCACGACTGCTGCCGTGTCACAGCACAGGTGCTGTCCTCCGTGCCCAGAGTCCAGGACGGGAATGAAGACAGCTCTTGTTCTGGAAGGGTGTGTGCGGAATTGGCTGTGTGGGCAGAGCTGGTGCCGGCGCCGGAACTAGGGCTGGGCCGGGGCTGGTGCTGTGTAGTGGAGCAGCCAGGAGACACCACTTCTTCCCTCCAGCAGATGGAAAGTTCATTTCTTCTTTGTTCCTCCTGTATCGACCAAAGAGCTAGGTGCTGTGTGGACCGTGGGCACTTTGCGTTATGATACATTAAGATGGGTTGCGATTAAATGACTTACTTCATCAGCATTACTGCATTACGGGCAGAGCAGCAAGTGACATGGGCCTGAGTGGAAGTGACTGTGTGGAGAAGGCCACTAGGTGAGCCACCTCTGCAGTGTGGACACAAGTCTGAGGCTACAAGGATCTTTCCCAAGCACAGGCCACATCTATGTTCTAAGCAGCAATGTCCTTGAGACAGCAAGAGCAAGAGAGCCTGTTGTCACTGTGGTTCTCCACATTGTGCAGAATCATATTTGAACTGTGTCTGTCTTCACAGGAATCAATTTACGGAGAAGCTAGATGGCCAGACCATTAGCATCTGGAGTCCGAGAAAGGGCCTCCACTCAACCTCTCAGGCTTTGTTCTTTCCCGCTCAACCTCATTTTGTAGGAAAGCAATTATCCCCATTGTCCTAACTTTAGACAATCAAATGAGAAGCTTCCTGCCACAATGGGAAGCTGTCACACACATCTGTGAGGCCTCCTCCTGGCCAATCACCTGTGGGCTGTGGGAGGACCCCCCTCCACCCTGCAGATGGTGCCACTGTACACCAGAGTGGCTGAGAACGGACAGCTGACTCCATCTGACCTGCAGGAGGGCCCCCCCGCCCCTGCCTCTCTGCTGCCACTCTCGGGGAAATGACATCAGAGACTAGTCACCAAGTCCGACCTCTATGGCACAGTACACGCTGTCCTTTGAGAAAGCATCATCAACAAAGCTATGTCCCTTCTTGCCTGAAGCATGGGGGATGAATCTTCACATTTGTTGTTTCTTCTGCCAAAAACTACTTCCTATTCAGACTTCATCCTAAATGCCACTTCCCAGAAGAACTTCCCAATCCAGCTGGGCCAGCTTCCCTTGCAGCACGCCTTCAGCTCCTGTTCCTCACAGCCCTGGCCTGGCATGCCCGAGCCGAGCATGTGTGTGTGGGCTGATGTGTGCCGGAGGGGTCTAGACATCTCCAGTGAGAAAGCAGCGCCGCTCAGAGAACGCAGTGTGGAAGCAGTGTTCTGAAGACCAGAAGGGTGGAGTGAAGACAGGCGAGGAAGAGGAAGGGACGGGGACAGGCAGCACGCAGAGCACAGGGGCAGGAAACTGGTAGGGAAATCCCAGTGTCCACAAGTGTTTCATCAAACAGAGCCAGTGCGTACTAATGGGTTGGGGCCACGGCATTCCTCAGTATCAGTCGCTTCCTCCATGTGCAGAGTACAGAGTACACATTGTTATCGCTGCTTAAACACACCCTTTCACACTAATTAAAGCGTAATAACACATAATGTGAGCTCTGTGCAGTGCAGGCGCTCTACCATGTGCTGCACTGGGCTCCTCGGCTCTTCTGAATGGTGCTCAGGCCCTTAGCAGTCACTCCTGAAGTTGATCACTATACTACAAGGCGGCATGCAGCTTCTCCAGAGGCCATGGCAGCTAGAACTTTAAAAAGGGGTCTGTGAATGGAGGCCTAGCATTCCTAGAGAGTGTGGGAGGGAGGAAGGGAGTGTGGGAGGCATGGGACTGTTGTAAGGAGACACCGCCATGCGGACAGCTTCTCACGGGCATGGCCTCACTTCATCTAGACGTGTCTGTTTTTATGGACGGAGTGTGGGGCGAAGAGAGGCTGAGCCACCCGAGGTGTAGGTGCAGCCTTGACACCCACAGCTCGTGCAGAAGGCCATGACCACCATGTGCTGGGGCGGTTTGTGCTCAGCAGGGCGGCCGCCTCAGGAGGGCCCTGCAGTCCTCTGACCTGCACCCTGACTCCTCCTTGTGCCCAGGACCACGTCGGGACCCAGGAAGTTTTGCTGCCCCATGATCACAGTGACCTGAGATCTCATCTCAGCCCTGTCTGGCCCTTAGCGCTTCCCTTTCCTTCTGCCGTCCTACTTCTGCCAAGGCATAATGAATATTTACAGTGAGGAAAAAGAAGAGGTATGAGCTGAGAAAAGAGCAGGTATAGTCTCACGTTAAAAAAGACAATAAATCTAATATAAACAACAACAAAAAAAGGCTTTCCTAACTCTTAAGATATTGTAGCTTAAATACTAGAATGCTTTTAAAGTAGAGTATTTTTTCTTATTTTGAGAACAAAAACCCAGTCAGCCAAATCTTTTCATACAACATCAGTGTCAAACATCCATCGAGACATCTCTGCCTGAGCTCGGACTTCACCTGCCAAGAGCCTCGGGAGGCCGTATCCATCCGTCCGTCCGTCTGTCCAGCTGGGCTGTCCAGACTCGGCTCTCACCCCTGCCATCCCTCTCCACGGCGCTCCACAACCTGGCCCCAAAGCAATCAGAACAACTTCTCATTCTGTTGAAAACAAACTGGCAAATGCTTTTAGAAACTCAGCAGTAAATTAAATGAACCCTGGTCGTCTTTCTAAAGGTCAGAAGTTATATCATAATGGCTCCTTAGACAAAGAAACTTTGATGTTCTTGAGAATCTTATCTCTGTTGCACAGATAAAATAAGAGTAACCTCTTCATAAAACTGAAAAGAACTTCCTTGACTGAGACAGTTGCCAGTTATCTAACTTGGAACCATAAATGACAAATATCGAGACTAATAAACAGAGGGCTTGAACAATTGCTTTCTGAGCAAACCAAGCCTCTTTTATTAGGTGAAATGAACAGTAATGAACATCTGTACAGACTGGAAATTTGTCTGTGAAACCCGCTAACCCAGTTCTGCATAAAAAGCAGAGAGGGAGGTTGAAGAATGTTTTCCAAAGGACAAGAAGATAAAAGGTAGCATAATTTGGTCCAGCAATGGTCTGGGGATAAGACAATCTTCGTTTTGACAAGTAAAAACTTTAAACTGACATTTGCTATCATTTCACCCAGTTCTGATTATTTATTGTAAGACTGTCATCAAGCCGAGCGCTGGGCGCAGCTGAGCCCCTTCTCCTACCTGTCAGTTCCATCTGAATGGCTTTTGCAGCCTTCATTTCGTGCACCTCAAATGTCTATTAGCCAAAGACGTGTCCTATTTCCCAAGGATAACTAAAAACCTAAGACATTGCAAAGGGGAAAACCCACTAAAAAGCTCTTCATTTATGGTTATAATTTATAATATTAATAGTAGACAAGAAACATGTGAGGCTGATTACTCTTCAACTCCACCAAATCACCCAGGGCAGACCCTCTCTCTCCAGGTCACAAGTGGGTTTCTCACATGTGCTGCAGCCATGACCACAGGCCTTCTGCCTTCTTCCACACGCCAGCCCATGATCCTGGTCAAAGCAAGCCTCAGTGCTTAGCAGAGTCCCTGGCTTTCCCAGGTTTCGATTCCATCCATTGAGTGAAGCAGCCCCCAGTACTTGAAGATGGTACACCGCCCCCCCCCCATTCTCCCTTGCCTGCAAGGAGTCAAGCACAAACAAGTACTGGGACCAAGTCCTGTCTACAGATGTCTTTGCCCTCCATCCACAGAGTAGGAAAGAAGATCATGAATAGAGCAAGGTTAGGAATAACGCCCTGGCACGGGATAAGAAGGAATGCCTGACATTTAGCCTTCTTCTTCTCAATCTCTTCAATACTTTCCACTAATTTCTACTTTAGTCACTGGAACCAAACTCATTAAGACTCCTGTTTCTTTTTATGTCAGTGCAAGAAGCTCTGGACCACCCCAACTCGCCTCTGCCAGGGTGCCTGGAGTTCTGCACAAACCTGGCTATCCTAATTCTCTACCCAAATCTGCACTCTTGTGCTGTGCCCTGGGATTCGTGGCCCATTAAGCCCAATCCCCTATGCATTCAGACTCTTCTTAAGACATTCTTGCTCAATGGAAACTGATTCACAGCTAATGGCAATTCTTCCTCAGCATCCCCTCCATTTTTATCTCCCAAAGCTGAGGTTCTGCTGGGCCTAGAGGAAAGGTGAGTATTTTCCTCCATAACCTCTGTGTCCTCTGAAACACATGTACCACTACCACTTCCTTGCCTTGATGCTGTACTCCTCTGTCAAATATCTGGCTGCCATTCTCCCAGCAGCCTCACGGTTCTGAGTCTTGGAGGTTTCTGTGTGGGAGATAGTCCTTCCACCAGTGGGCCTCTCAGTTCTCTGGACTCCTGTCCTGATCCTGAGTCCTTTATCCACTCACTCCCATGGCACACCCTCGAATCATGTCCTTAACAAAAGGAGTTTCACCTTCACATATCCCATTTTCTATGACTTCTCTTTACCTTTTAGTAAACTATTCTTTCAAATTCATTACTACCCTTAAACTTTTCATCCTTGTCAAGGTAATTAATGAACTTTAAATTGCTAAATTCAATGGTTAATTCTTAGTTCTCAGGTCATCCTTGCTGTATATTCTTTCAGTACTTGGGTTCCAGACTAGTATACTTTTTGGCTGTAAACGTCCTGGATTCCTTTCTACCTCTCCGGCTTCTTCTCATCAGTCCACCTGCAACTCCTCTTCTGCTCTCAGACCTCTTAAAGTTGGAGTATTCCAAAGTCCCAGGTCACTGG